ACCATTCATGATGGGCATCTCCATGTCCATTAGAATGAGATCATAGTTTCTACCGGAACAATGAACGTCCACAGCTTCTTGGCCATTACAAACGACATCGTTTTGAATACCTAGACGGTCCAAGAGTTTATGATGCGTCATTTGGTTTACCAAATTGTCATCGACCACCAAAGCTCTTAACTTCGACTCTGCTAAATTTGGAACTTCACCAGCCATGTTACAAACTTCTAAGAAAATATGTTTGTGATGGAAACTCAAAAACTCTGTTACAGTCTCTATTTTAAAAGGAGAAGACAACTTATATAATACAAAAACAGGATCAGCTAGATTGTGTTTTGGATTCTGAAGAGATCTAGTGGTATTTTCCAGTTTTTATTACACCAAGATTGATCAAGATCCTTTCACTTTTCATGATACTTAGGGTTTAGATTTAGTTCAATTAATTCAATCTCTTGAGATATTAATTAGCCAAAACACCATGTGAGCAAAAGACATTAATAGCATATAATCACATATGATTATAACTATAGAGATGTTCTGCTAATTCTAGTAATAAATATCACACATTATATGATAAATTTTGATGAGATAATTTCACTTTTATGTTTCATTTGGTACCATTATTCAGCTTTAGGTTCTTTAAATAGATTTCACAAATACCTAAGGATAAGTTTTACTAAGAGGTAAAAGATATGTATACTATTTCATTGTAATTATATATATATATATATATCCATAATTATTTAAATAAAAACATCTTTTTATGGTTTTAAATTATATATTTTTAAATTTGAACTTTGTATAATTTTTTGTATTTTTCAAGATTTTCCTTTTTCGAAATTTTTATTTTGAAATTGGAAAATTATTTTTGAAACTATTTTAATTTTAAAATATTTTTTATATTTACTAAAAATCTAAATCTACCCTTTAAATCTAAACTCTAAGTGTAGATTAGTTAACTCTAGAGTTATAAATGTCTACTTACCTCTCTAAAATCAAAGATCAATATGGTTCAAAAAAAATGATATTAAGAAAGTTTTAGACAATTTCTCACTTTTGATTTGCTATAATTCATAAAAGACAAAATTATATATTTCTTTAAAATTTCTGAGATTATTAAAGATCTACATATTAATTTTTCTTAAACAAAACAAATTGACGAAATCTTGTACAGATTTATCTTTTAAAAGATATCTCTGAACTACATAAAAATTATTTATTAGTTAATCTAATAATTTAAAATCTAATAATTCCACAAACTTTATTACAAAGTAATGCCAATATATATCTCATTATTAAACATGCGTCGATTTGTTTAGTGATATTTTTATTAGGGCAATTCTCTCAAATAGTCTTTTTTAAGTTTTTATCACAAAAATAATCTCGAAAATTAAAATGACCAAAATAGCATTTTTTATTTTGAAAATTTTAAGTTTTTTCTATTTTTAAAAATTTGAAATCCTATCCCCAAAACCCCACTCTTCAACTCTAAAAAAAAAAGTCTATGATTAATTAACCCAATTGATATAAATGTATATTCAATAAAACATTTAAGTGTTATTTTGGTCATTTTAATTGTTAAGGTCTATATTTGTGACAAAAACATTTTTAGATCTATCCTAATCATTTTCTTTTCTTTTTTTTTTATTTATTCGCTTTATAAAACAGAAAAGATAAAATATTTTTACGGAGGTTGTGGCCTTGACTGAACAATGTAAACATCTTCACCAACCAAACAACCTTCAACATCTTGTGCACAACCAAAGTTTCTTTCCAAGAAGAACCCAACAGAACCAAGTCTCTGACCAAGTTTCTGTCTAAACACCGAGTCAACCGTTAACCGTTAACCGTTTCTTGCTATAGTCAACAGTCAACCGAACATACATTCCATCAGCAGGACCTCTACCCAACACAAGAAGCTCTTCACTAAAGTTAGCAAACGCTAAGGTCTGCACAGTCCCATCAAGCTTACCAGAAGCAAGTCTCCACGGTGTTCCTCTCGTCCCTGAAGCCAAAGTCTCACCCAAACCAGGAGCTATCTCAGCTTCCACGAGGTTGCGGCTTGGATCAGATGGACTCACAGTGTGGAGAACGAAAGATAAGTCAGGAGAAAGCATTTCTTGAACAAGAACAGCCATTGAAGCTTCTCTTTGAGATACACCAGCAGCTCTACGGCTTAGAACAGCTCTTCTTGTGTAGAGAGAAGCCCAAACTCGGGACACAGAAGCAGAGAAGAGTGAAGGATCTGAGGGAGACACGTTGGGGATTGATTCATAGAGTCCTGCTGCTGACATTCCTGCCAAGTCCTCTACGTTGGCGCTTGAACGAACTATGAGACGTGTGTCTTTGGGAAAGGCTTTGCTTATGGTGTTGATTGTTTCTTTAGGGACTTGCAGTGATTTCATTAGTTTGTTGATCTGATCACATATGCTGTCTAGTTTACCGTCTTCATGTGTGGCGGTTTCTAAGTTTTCTAGGAGTGATGTGAACTTTTCTTCTGAGTTGCTTTGCTTTAAAGCTAACTCCATGGATCCGAATGGTATGACAACTCCTGTTGGAACCTTGAATGATGCTGGAACTCCGTGCTGTGCACTGCAGATTCATTGGAAAACCAGACAAAGCAATTTAGAAAGAGATCAGATGCTGTTCCACTGATCTGTATAAACTTTCACCAAAATTATTAACTAAAATAATATTTTAACATTAAATATCAGTTAACCGAAATGTGGGTTTTTCAAAATATGAACATTTTTATCAAAAAATTTCTTTCTCTTTTAAAGACTGTTCATATTTTCAGACTCCGGTGAGTCGGTGACGATACAATTTCAAAAGATCTCAAAATCCTTAATTCTTCAAGTTGCATTTGTTTTTTTTTTTTTTCTGTAAGTGGTCCTTATTATTTTATATGTTATCCTGTTTTCAGTTTTTCTCTACGTTTGAACTTCTAGAAAAATCATTGATTTTTTTTTTGGTTCTTTGATTCTTGCATAAAGTAAAAGATGATTTTACACATATAACTAACAATTAATATAAGAAAAGACATGGGCATATAAAGAATTACGGTCGGATCACTGATTTTGTTTTGGTATTAAGCAAGAAAAAAAATTCTAAAACCCAAGAAGACTGTGGTTGTTTTATTGTTTTGGGTCTCTTTTGGTTGAAATTAAGGGGTCTTTCTAAAAAAAAAAAACAAATTTTGCCCTAGGGAGCCTGAAAAACGTTTGAACCGGCCCTGGAGTTACTCAGTGGGGGAGGTTTTCCTTACAATGGTATCACTGGACTAAGGGTTATGCTTTCTGCGAGGTTTATTGGTATGCACAACTTCCTTTAAGCTCTTGATCAAAGGTAAACAACTCACTCCATTAAAAATGTTTCAAAAGAAAAACTTATGGTGGATTTACTTTTGATTAACCAAGTGAGATGAAGGGGTGGTATTGGATTGAATAATTTCACTGATTTTAAAGGAATTCAATTGAAGATAAAAGTAATGGTTTTAAAGGTACTTTAAAAATTTGATAATAATTTTAGTGCATCTGTTTAATTCTAATGTATTGGATTTTAAAAGAATTCAAATAAATTTGATACAATTTCTATAAATCATATGAACTAGTATTTTTATACGAAGAGAATAAGTTTATAAAAAAAGTTCCAAATAAAAAACTTTAATCATTTTTATTTTATATAAAATGAGAAAATTATTTAAGAAAAATCGAATTAAAAACTTTGACTGATGCAAATAGTAATAATCAAGCTAATTATGTATAAACGATGTGAATATGTAGTCATTTAGAATTAAAAAAGTTTCATGAAAACTTAAATTACGACATGATATATTTTATAATTATTTGTCAATATAACAATATATTTATAAATTTATAATGAAAATTATGTTTTCAAATCTTTCATATTATAATAATGATCAATACTTTTGATGTATATATCTGATAACAAAAAAAAAATAATTTAGCAGTCTAGGTTGAGAATTGGTTCTTTACATTTTTAGGAAATTTTATATTAAGTTTCATTTAAATACAATTACCACACAATCCACGAAAAATAAAATCACATAAATATTTAATGGAATTAGAAAATCACTAAATTTAATAACACAAGAATTTCAAAAAATTGATGGAATCCATGATTGAATAACAAAAGAATATAATAGAATATCAATTCAATTCAATTCAATTCTTGATTCTAATACTTCCACCAAAGATTTGAAGTTGTTCTGTTTTTTAGTAAAAAAAAAAGTTGTTCTGTTTCAGTACCAAAATGACCATTCTATATTGGGCGGGCCCATTATACTGAAAAAGTAGTATAAAGAAAAATAAGTGGTTAACAGAAAATTTGTCTCCAATTAGAATATAAATATCGCATGTCCCACAATGGATCCTTAGAGGGGGGAAATCATTTTTTTACAGGGACCAAGACAAAATGTCTCCTACTAAGAAACGTCCTACACAAGTCCCACACAATTTGTGAATGTTGATGAAGAGAGAGAAGGACGCTGGGATGATTAAAGACTTTTTAGAATCCTACTGATAATCATGCTCTTAGTGATATTGGGTAGATGATCCAATAATGGAATTTTTTAATTAAACATTTTGGCAATAATTTCGCTACATCTTAAATAGTAACGTCAAATGATTTATTTCCATAAGAGCAAAAAAAACACCAAGAGTAGAGGGGCCCACCCTATTAATAGAAAATGAAAGAAAAAGTCAAGTCTTTGCAAATGTCTTGATTTGTGTCTGACATAGCTTATCTTTTCATGTTCACACATAAACACACTTCTAATAAGCCAAATACGATTTAATAATAAAAGTAAAATATACAGTTGGCTTGACGAGATTTGATTCTATAAGAGACGCCCGACTCAGTCATCGTCTCCTTCTTTGGTAAAACTCTTTAAAAGTCTCTGCTTCATCTTCCTCGAAACTCTCAGCCGCTGATTCTTCTCTTATGCCCTACCTTTCTTCTTCTTGAGACTTGTCTCTGACATGGCATCCCCTAAGGAGAACGATGATGTCCCCATGCTTCCAATCTCAGACACATCTCGTACTACGAGACCTTTCACTTCAAGGTCTCGTAGCGTGTCTCTCTCAAACACTTGTTCCACCATTGATGGATTCGACAGCTCCACGGTGGTGTTAGGCTACACGGGTCCTCTTCGCACACAGAGACAACCTCCTTTAGCTCAAATGAGTGGTCCTCTTTCATCTACTCGCTGTCCTGAGCCTCTTTTTATTCTTCCTCCTACTTCTGATTCAGTTGGTACTGTCTCCTCCTCACAGCCTGAGAAGTATCCTTCTTATGCTGCTAAACACAAGAACTCAGACGACGAGTTTGTCTTGAAACACGCAAATCTATTGAGATCTGGACAGTTGGGGATGTGTAATGATCCTTACTGTACCGTTTGTCCTTCTTATTACAACCGTAAAGCTGCTCAAATCCCTAGTTCCAGAGTTTCTGCCTTCTTTGACTCCAAGGTATCTTTTATTTCTTTACTCAATGCAGTCAAAGAGTAGCTTGCTGATCAAGTAAATGTAGCTGAAACAGAGTCTTTTCTGTATCTTGCTAGTTCCATAATGCTCTGTATGATGATGCTAAAGGCTGGGCTAAGCGGTTGGCTACATCTGCTAATAGATACTTACCAGGAATCATGAATCCTCACTCCAAATTTGTTCAGAGCTGGACTAAGTTCTTTGCCGTCTCATGCTTGTTGGCTATTTTTATAGATCCTCTCTTCTTCTTTCTCATATTAGTCAAACAGGTATGCTTACTCTCTCCTTCTCTATCTTTTGTTTCTCATGTTTTGTATTATTTCATTTACAAAAATCTTTGGTATACTGCAGAATGACAAATGCATTGATATCGATTGGCCTATGGCCAAAACATTTGTAGTTTTAA